TTAATAAAGTTTGCCTAGAGATCAGAGGAAATAGCAAGCCATTTTAAGTAAGCACAAAAGTCAGGCAGTGGTAGCACACACCCTTAATCTGATCACTTGGCAGGCAGGGTCTCTGTGTGTTCAAGGCCACACTAGGGAACAGAGCCAAGCTTGGTGACACACACCTTTAATCAATCCCAATACCAACTATAGAGACCTGGAGGCCTGTACACACAGGCATTGACAAGGAAGTGAGGTAGCTGGGCTAAGAGCCAATGAGAGGGCAGAACAGCAAGGCAATAAAGGTGTGGGTAGACAGGAAGTAGCTCACTTTGGAAGCTGCGGCATGGTGAGGTAAGGTTAGCTGGTGGCTATTCCTATTTCTTTGATCTCTAAGGCTTTCACCCATATATTTGGCTCCATGTTTTTTATTTAATAAGACTGCTTAGAAATTTGTCTACAAACAGGCTGCAGTAGAATGCCTCAGTTTTTCAGAACACCAGGGACGGTATGCTGCAGGAACTCATGTGTGATGGGAATCCATATGAACCATGTTTTGAAGGCCTTGTGGACATGATCTCAATGCTGCTGCTTTCTAAATCCTCTTCAAGTGGAACAGACACTTGCCACCAGCCAGGCAGCAGACCCCCACAGAAAGCCAGGTCTCAAGGAGGTAAGTTGATGTGAGTGTAACCCAGTAACAGGTGACAATGAGCCTGAGAAGGACACAGCTGTGGTGCTGGCTTATCAGATCCTTTATTCTCCTCCCAGGGAACCTGCCCTGGTATCCAGGTCAGGCTGTGTTCCAGCTTGTGCCTCAAGTACCACCATTGCAGGCTGATGCACTTGGGATGAACCAGCAGCTCCCTGGGGGACTTCTAAGCCTTCTTTCCAAGTACAAAAATTAAAGCCCTTGTCAAACACTGTACCCACCCAAGTGAACCTGGGCCACATCACACCATATAGCCAATCCTCTGCACGGTGATTGGACAGAGTTACACCAGGCAGGTATGCCTCTGGAACCACAGCCTTGGTTGGAAAATAGCTTTGAAATCAGGAGCCCATATCTGGAGAGAACCCCAGGATCATGAGCCCAGGGCAGGACTGTCACCCCAAACTCAGCCAACCACTGATCATTTCAAGTGTGGATTCGAGTCTGGATTCATCTCCTTGCCCAGCTATGAGAAGCTGCCAATGTTGATTTTCACTCTAATGAAATGCTGGGTTAATTTACACTCAGAAAGTCAATAGTGTTTAACTACACCAACATCAGTGTTTCCCTCATCTGGTTGCTTTTAACTTAATCTTTCAAGTAAAGTCATCATCATTCACAAATGAAAATGGCCTAAGATGAAATTTTCCAACATGGCTAAAGCAAACATCCCAGCTTCTTTCCCCAGGGTAACACATTAAACCAGCATCATTCGTCAATGTCTCCAATGTCTGGTTTGTGAATTTCTCTTGCAACATCAAGGCAGAAATCTGCAGCTCTGAATGGGCATCCCCAGTGGAGGCCAGCAGCTGGCGCTTTGCTGTCCCAGCACACACTGATGCCCTGAATTGGCTTTTTCTGTGTTTGTATTTTCATCATAATTTCGCTGCTGCACAGCCCTGAACAGTGTTGCATATCTGTGATACATCCTCAGCCCAAGAGGCAAAAACATCTGGGATCATGTTTGGGAACGTTTGTTTGGGCTGAGCTGTGCGGCTGATGACTGTGGGTTCAATGTGCTTGCCCAGCGTCTGGTAAGTTCTGGGTTCCATCCCCAATACCACATAAAACCAGGTGTGGTGATGCATGCCTGTGATTCTAGCGCTCTGGAGGTAGAGGGAAGAAGGTAGGAAGGTCAAAGTGATCATCAGCTATGTCAAGTTTGAGGCTTCCCTGGTATACAATAAGACCCTGGTGGAGGGGAAGACAAGAATGGGGAAGAGAAAAGAAAAGAAATGGCGTCAAGGCAGAAACACACATGTGCTAAGAATGTCAAGCAGAGTGGCTGTTAGCTCTTGTGTAGGAGACTATATCCAACTTTCTCCTGCTTAGTCCCAAATGCAGGGAAGAGGAGTAAACAACATATGAGGCGGCATCTGTGTCACCATGAACCTTCTGGGGTTTGGGGAAGAAACCATAGAGTACAGATGCTGGACTCAGTCTGAGTCAGGTTACCTGAGAATGTGGAAGCTTGGAGCTGTGTCTCCAGAGCTAAGGGCATCCACGTAACAGCTGGCATAAATAGGCTTTACCAGGTGCCTGCTCTGATCCTTTCCAGGGCTCCAGGGCCAAGGGGCAGTGAGGGAGTATTGAGGAACTGGGGTGGAGATGTGGTAATGGTGGCTCCTGGAGTCTGGCTTTGGGGGTGCTATGTTGGAGAGCTGGTAAAGCTCTTGCAGGAGTCAATGGAAGATATTGGAAGAGTCCAAGCACAGGATCCAACCAGAGCCTGCCAGTGCTAGGCTGGTGTTCTGATAGTGTCACTCTCCAACCCAGCAGCAGCACTGGCATCCTTCCCAAACTATCGCAGCCTGGCCCTGCTCCTGGGGCACGACTACAGAGTCAATGAATAGTGGAAAAAATTACAAATTTTATTCATATATTTCACAGTGGAAACTCAGAACAGACACAAAGCAAGAAACAACCAACCAAGAGCACAGACAGGGAGAGCTGGGGAGGGGATATGTTCACACTTCAAGGCGCTTGCACATTTATTCTAGCATTGCATCTGAGAAGGTCACTGGGTGCTGCTCCCAGAGGAAGCATCATGGAGTGCATGACCCTCCCCTGGATGGGAGTCCCTTCCCAGAAAAGATGGAGTTCCAGCTATGACACATCCACTCCCTTCTGGAGAACCAGGCAGAGGGAAGGAGGCAGAGCCTCACCATAGGTAAGACATTCATACTTCATACTTGGTAATTCTGGCATGGTCTTCCTGGTGTAAACCCAGGGCCAGAAGAGAACATAGAACAATGACTTCCTCTTTTTCATCTTTGTCCCAAACTAAGAACTTCTACAGAACAACCTCACCACCTGGAAGAGGTCTAATATCTGAGGCACAATCACACAGTCCAAATGCAGGTGAACACTAGACATCCATCCAGGCTAGTGCTCCAGGAGCAGTGAGGTAGTAAGAGAAGAAACGTGATCCAGAAGCAACGTTACTGGAATCACATGTCCCTGATTCTGATGGACCTCATCCTTCAGGGGACTAGCTGAACTATACAGGATCCATTAGGTACCAGGTACTGAGTACCGGTACTCAGTACCAGGTACTGAGGTGAGTCTCAGGCTCTGAGAGGCTGAGAAAACAGTGTGGGGAGCCAAGAACCAGACTGAATGACACCATGTAGAGCTCACCCAAGGGACAAGTGGGCAAGGGGAACATGTTGACATTAGCTTCTTGCTCTGAGGGCTCTGCCTAGGCAAAAGCTCTGTTACACTTAGAAGTAGCTGTTATGTCAACATGCAGGAGAGAGAGCCCTTTGCTCCCAGCCATGTTCACCCTGGTTGCTAATGGAGTCATTATAATATGACCAACCCAGACTGTACACAGATCAGGCCACAGGCTACAGTAGCTCTCTTAAGATGTCTGTCCCAGGGCCCAAGACCCTGCCTGGCTTCCCTACTCTTTGTTAGGCCATCAGGCTATTCAGAGGTCACAGTCTTTATTCATCCAAAAGAGGCCTGAGCATGAGCCAAAAAGGAGAACGAGCATGACAGTGCCACCCTCCTCTGCATTTGGCCCTATGTGCCCAAACCCAGCAGGATCATCATCCCTTCTGGATGGGAGCCACAGAAGTGGCCTGGGGTGGGGCACTGAAGCCCTCACAGGACCAGGGAGTGCAGTCAGACAAGTCACTGTTTAATAAAGTGAAAGGCCCTTTGAATCATCTCAAAAGGTACATTGTGCACAGGAGTTAAAAATCAGCCCCTTGGTGTTCTTGCAGAAGGGTGTCGAAGACAAAAGAAGTCAGAGCCAAAGGCCACGTGGATTAGCTGTTCGCCTGTGCAAACAGGAAGAGGAGATAAGGTTACTCGCCTCAGACAGACAAAGCTGTCTGTTTCCCCCGGTGATGTGAGAGACCCAGAGTCTGAGCACAGGCCTCACAGGCTTCTGCAGGTTGAGCTCAGGTCACAGGTGCAGGAAGCACATGGGCCTCTGCCCAGAAGCTTGCTTGACTCAGGATACGCTCTACCTAGAGATGTCACTTATGGGGTCTTCCATTCTTACCTGTGGTGTCCCCTCCCACTTAGCACTGGCCTTCCTCGAGGCCATGCTGAGTGGCCTTTAGGCTTAAATACACCTGCTGGTCATCTCCCTCCATTCTGCCCCCTTCTCTAGCCTCATCTTTGTGTCCCTCAGCATAGTCTGGCTTTTCTGTTCCCACTTCTGCCTCTGCCAGGAGAAGACTTCCCATGGAATGATGTGACACCCTGAGCCCAGGTGTCACTTGCGTTGACAGTCCTCCTTTATCAGGCAGATACTGGGATATATGCTCTTTCTCTAGGAACCCCTCCTATGAGAATGATGGTCTAAGCAAACCATCATTCTGATCCCTGGGACGGAATGGGCTGGGGCTCCGACAGGTTGTGTGGATGAGCCAGGAAGGCCGGCTCACAGGAACCCCTGGATTCTTCCTTGCTGTGTAACCTCCCCTGGACCCAAGTTGGGGACTTGAGATCTCTAGCCGCTCCTTTCTCTCTGCATGAAGGCTGCCCTAATGACCCTCAAGAGACCCCTGTGAGGAAGAGTGCCATTCTGACTATTCCCTCACCCAACTGTGTGAGTGGATGAAGGCTGGATGGGTGCCTGGCTCTGCTGACCTTTCACTAGAATGGGGAGCCAGGAAGGATCTATGAGTCCAGCTCTGCCATCAGCACTAGCAGGGAAGCCAGTGATGTTGATGTGTGCCACTGCCAAAGGTGTGCAGGCATCATAGGCTCAGGGGTATAAAGGGATTGGGAAACCAGAGGGATGGGGAGGGGGACTCTGGAGCAGAGGGGTGAAAGGTGATCCAGGAGCAGTTCAGGCCTTGAAAGTGTCTGTTTCCTGCCATGGTGCATTCCTCCCAGACCTGTGGCTTGAGCTCAAGGAGATAGATAACCCAGGAATTAGGGAAGTTACCCTCATTTGCTGGTAGATCCAGTCTGTAAATACTGTCACGTTCCCGTACACTCCAGGTCTGAATGCCTTGGCACAGCCGGAGCCCCAGCTTGTGTCCCCAATCAGCCACCAGATGTCATTCTTCAAAGTAACCAGTGGCCCTCCACTGTCTCCCTGGAGAACATAGCAAGTTACTGAGAAGAGAAAGGCACACTACAGCACACTGCCACCAGCACCATGCACCAGAGAGGACACAATATCTGGATATGAAAGGGGGTGTGGGTCTGTCTCCCCAGCAGGAGGCAATGGTCATAGAGACATATTCCAAAAGATGAAGTTGGTCTATGCCAGCTAGCTGTTTGCAAGTGCATGACAGACCACACTTGTGCCAAACAAAAGCATCTCTGGAGACCATAGTGTGATTAGCACTGGCTTCTGCCATAGGCATAAATGCTGCTAGTGACCATCCCTCCCCACTCCACTCCCAACTGGCCCTGTGTCCCTGGGAGGTATCTCTGATCCCATCAGAGCCTCGTGTCTCATAGGGGTTCAATGGGAACTACACACTCCAAGGTTGAATGAAAATTCACAATTACCTGGCAAGAGTCCACAGTGCCCTGCAGGAAGCCGGCACAGATCATGGCTGGTGTGATAAGGTTGTTGTATATGTATTTACTATTACATCTGGAGGGCTCAATCAAGGGTACCATGGCAGCATTCAGCACATCCGAGGTCTTCCCTAACAATAGAGGCATCAGCTAGCAGCTCTTGTGGGCATCTTCCTCAAGAAGCCCACACTCTATATAGATTATCTCATACCTCTCTTCCATTCTCCCTCCCTCCCTCTAATGGTTAACATTGATTGACAGGATCTAGAAGAACCCAGGAGACAAACCTCTGAGCATGTCTACAAGGGAGTTTCTAGAGTCAGTAAATTGAGGAGGGAAAATGCCCTAAAGATGGGTGGCACCATTGTATGGGCTGGGTCCCAGGCTGAATAAAATGAGAAAGCGGGCTAAGCCTCAGCATTCATCTCTCTCTTTCCCCATCTTGATAATATAATATGTGTGTGTGTGTGTGTGTGTGTGTGTGAGAGAGAGAGAGAGAGAGAGAGAGAGAGAGAGAGAGAGAGATACAATGCCTTGAGGTCCTGATGCCATGTCTTCCCCTCAGTGATGGACTGCATCTTCAAACTGTGAACAATAAGCCCTTCTTTCCTTGAGCTACTTTTGTCAAGAATTTTGTCACAGGAATGAAGAAGTACATTCCTTCAGACCATCACAATACTAAGCCCTTTCCCTATGTACTAGGCAGGGCTGATTCAATGTTTTCTGTTAATCAAATGGGGAAAGCAAGGCACATAGCTTAGGTAAATTGTCCAAAGTCATTAACCACTGAATAACAGAACTGGGATTCAGATGAGGAGGTCCCACTGTGGAAATCAGCATCTCATCCTGTGTGGCCCAAAGCCTTACCTTTCTCATAGGTGGCCCCCCACCCTGAAATCCAGCATTCCTGGGCTAGGTCCAGCATCATGCCTGGGTTTGGCAGACACACTGGCTTCACTTCGTCTATTTAAAGAAGAACAAAGGGTGAGTTATCCAGGCCTACAGGGCCTCTGTGAGAGTCTCCCCTGGTTGCCCAATGCCCTGCTCTTTCCAGAAACCCAGGTTCCTGTGGGTCCTGGACCCCTTGTTCCCATCCTGACAGGCTTGCTTCCTGACAGTTCCTCTGGACATTTGCTACTCATATCTAGAATTAAGTGCTGGCTCTGCTTCTAAAACACAGCACATAAGCTGGGCAGTGGTGGCGCACGCTTTTAATTCCAGCACTCAGGTGGCAGAGCCAGGTGGATCTCTGTGAGTTCAAGGCCAGCCTGGTCTACAGGCTCCAAAGCTACACAGAGAAACGCTGTCTCAAAAAACAAAAAATAGATAGATAGATAGATAGATAGATAGATAGATAGATAGATAGATAAACAAAACACAGCACACTGGCCTCTGAGTGACAGGGGAGGAAAGGACTGGTAACGGCCATTGCTCAGAAGCTGATGGCTCCAGCTTATCCCAAAGCCACACCATCTCTCAAGGATCTGCTATTTTTTGTGTGAGTTGGTCCCCCAGCTTGAATATAAGCACTTCAGAAGAGAAGTCTGTTGTCATCTGTAGATTCTAGAACATTCCATGCTCTTGCATAGACTAGAAAAGGGATAATAAGAACCTAAGGAAGGGACTAGGGATGTAGCCCAGTTGGCAAAGTGCCTGCCTAGCATGCACAAAGCCCTGGATTTCATGCCCAGCACCTCATAAAACCAGGTGTGGTGGCACATGCCTGTAATCCCTGCACTCAGGAGGTAGAAGCAGGAGGACCAGGAACTCAAGACTGTACATGGCTACATAGAAGGACCCACTTAAGCTACACAAGACCCTCCCCCACCAAATAAAAATATATTGTATACATTATCAAAATCTCAAAGAATGAATTTAAAAGTATATACTTAAAAAATGAAATAGAGCCTGGCAGTGGTGGCGCACACCTTTAATCTCAGCACTCGGAAGGCAGAGGCAGATGAATCTCTGTGAGTTTGAGGCCAGCCTGTTCTACAGAGTGAGTTCTAGGACAGCCAGGGCTACACAAAGAAACAATGTCTCGAAAAAACAAAAATAAATAAATTAAAAAGAAAATAGTTTACAGACTACTTTTTAATAAAAAAGCTTATTAAATTTCTTTTTAAAATACATTATTACCATTTCTGTGATTCTTAAATGTTTACAAAATATTAGAGAAAACACATTTTAAAAAAGCTAAGGGTCTACATTTCAATTTTAAAGTATCCTGCTTTCAGAACATATTTGTTTAAAAAAGGAAGAACCGTTGTCTTGAGAGAGATGACTCAGTGGGTCCTTCCAGAGGACCCATGACTGATTTCCAGCACTTACATGGAGGCTCACAACTGTCCCAGGGAATGTAACACCCACTCTGGTCTCTGTAGGCACCAGGCACACAAGTGGTACACAGACATACATACAGGCAAAACACCCATCACATAAAAGTTAAAAAATAATTTAAATATTTTTAAAAGCAGTAATCTTTACAAATTATCAACCAGATGGCCTCAGCTGGAGAGGATATTGTCCCACAGTGATAGTAATCTGTATTTGAAGCTGACCCAGACAACTAGAGGGAGTTACCGCCCTCTAGTGGAAAGAGCCTCACATACCGTTAAAAGTCAGAGGCGTCTGCAGCTTCATGAGAGCGATGTCGTTATTCTTGGTCTTAGAGTCGTAATTTGGATGGGAAATCACTTTTTCTACCTGGTGTCTTCTTCCATAGAACATGAGAGACTGTCTCAAAATCCCTGTGAATGCCGTCCAGTACCTCGGGTTGCTGAGAGGTCTGGGAGACGGAGAGACAGCATATGGAAACTCAGGACCACAGATACAAGGTGTTCCCTCCAATCTTTAAAACACATATGCTGAGGTCTGGAGTGAGATGAGTACCCCAAACCACAGAGTAAAACTGTGGGGCAGGGGCTCCCCACTTCCCTCCCACCTCCCCACAGCTCCCTGCTGCTGAATAGCTGTCTGAGGATTCGGTTTCTTCTCCTATCCTCTGCACCAGCCCACAAATAGGGCCGGCACCCTTCTATGAGACTTAAAATCACATTTCTGACAAGACTGTCTCACTAATCTTTTTATGCCAGAGCATTTACTGACACACGGTGCTTAATAAACGCATACTTGGTGTTTCATACCAGGCACACTCTTCCTTTCATCAAAGAACTTCAACCACCAAAGGGACCTCAGAATCTGGGATGCAAAAGGAAGAAAGGGACAGTCCCAAGTAAGGTAGCTCCCTAACTTCCTAGCAGTGCCTGGGAAGAGGAGGAGGGCACTCCTGTGTGACAGATGGTATCACCAGGCTGAGAGAGACACTGAGTCAGTCATCTTTCCAAGACCACACAGCCAGAGAATGGCTGAGCCAGGATCTGAGCCTCACTTAAGGCAGCAAGTGCCCAAAACTTGTCTAATAAAAAAATCTGTGATGCTGGAATTGGGGTATATCCCTGCACTCAGGAGGCTGAGGCAGGAGAATTATCCATTTGAGGTCAGCCTGAGCTACATAGAAAAATCCTTGGGAAGGAAGGGAGGAAAGGAAAGAGATGGAAGGAAGAGATGAGGAAGGATGGAAGAACAGGAGAGAGGGAGGGAGAGGGGGAAAAGGAAGAAGGAAAACAAAATGGGAACAGTGTCTTTGGCAAGAGCTGACACTACTCAGTATGGCTGTCCTTGTCCTTCTTGCCCATCTTGAGTGCAATGCCAAGACCAAGGGTATATATACAGGCTTCCAGAGAACCTACTAGGGCAGTGTGAGGTTGTCAGAGTGGATATATCCAGGAGAAATGAGACTGATAGAGCAGGGGCTCTCAAAACTTATAGACAGAGCTGAGAAGATGGCAACTGGAATACACCCAGTCACAGTGTCGACAATCATTCTTATCCTAGGCTGGTATGCAGCAGCAGGCAAGAGAGACCACATAAACATTTGTCTAATGAGTGGATGACACTGGACCTGCAATGCATATATCCACCACCCAGCAGCACTCACCCCATTACACACAGGACATCGGAGCTGCCATACAGCTTGCTGTGGGTCATATGGTGGCAGAGCCACACTCCAAACCCAGGAGTCTTGGCCATGTGACTCCACCCTACTACCCCAGACCTCAAAGGATATAGACATACTCTTCCACACAGTGAGCAGCTGTCACAATCCACTCAGGGGTGATGATGGAGCCTCCACAGACATGGACGCCTTGGACATGCAGGCTGACCTGCCAGGGCCAATCTCCTAGTGAGGCACTCGATCCGCCCACAATCCTGTTCTGACGTCTCACTGAGCGGACTCCACACTCTGAGGGTGATAAGCACATGTTAGGTGTCAGTCAACAGTCAATAGGAGACATCAGAGTCGGCACAAAGCTAACCATTATGTGCTCAACTCAGCTGCCTTTTTCTGGTGGTGGGGCTGATGGAAGGCAACTGTTGCCGCCTCTCTTTCCCTATTATTAGGAGTCTAAATAAGCAAGTTGGGGGTAGATACTCTCCTAGGTTCCCAAAGGGCCATCCAGGTTGGAGCACTGACTAATTCTTATTGGTACCCAATTTCACCGGATCTCTGGTAGGCATGATTGGGAAGGTCCTGGGTAACAGGCTCCTTAAGGAGACTGATACAGTCAGCACTCCGCACCCAGGACTTCTGGGCAAAGAAAAGGGAGGTAGATAAGGCTGAGTGTGAGTGAGAAGGCAAGTGAGAGCTTCAGCAGGTGCTAAAAAGGTGAGATGAGAGGACGTGAGGTCATATGAGGGGCTGAGTGAGGAGGTAAGTGAAGGGGTTGGTGAAGTCTGAGTAACCCTCAGGAAATAAGAAACAGGTTCTTTGCTGACCAGTTGACTGAGAGAGGAGATCTTTCTACTCCAGAGTCAGCAGCCCCTGACTCTAGAAACTTCACAAGTGTGGAGCAAGTTCTCAGTTGAGAGAAATCAAGGTAATATGAGAAGCAGATGTTGGAAACTACCCAATGTGCTGGAAGGTCCCCATGCCAGTGGCTGCTATGGGGTGCTAGCTGAGCAGGCCTGGTGCATCTTGGCACAGTGTGGGGCAGGACTTCTGGAAGCATCCTCTAAGTGTCACCTGAACCTCTTTGTGAGTGACTTTGAGTACCTGTGAGGCACATGTGGCAAAGGGTGAACAGCAGTGCTCTCCTGGTTGTGCAATGCCTACAGAGGACCTGAAGGAGACTCAGAGCTCCTTTGCCAAAAGGTGAGCTTCAAGTCCCAGGCCTAAGCCGGGCATCTATATTTACCCCATGTGGGGCCCATGAGTAGTTCACACACACACAGAGGGGGACCCCAGTGAGCTACCATACAAGCTACTGAGGGAAGGAAGAAGGGCATGCTTGGTGTTAGGCTTTCTCCTTAGGAGTCCCAGTGGAAAACTGCATGACACTGCTCTGACTTTGCCCTAGCCCAGGTCACTGCTGCAAAGACTCTAGGATCACAAACATCTCATCCCTACACTTCATGGAGAAGGAGCCACCAGGGCTCCCCTCTCACAATGGCACCTAAAAACAAGGCCTGCCAGAGTCCAGCCATCACCTGCCCTCAGTAGATACTACAGTGCAGCAAAATTCCAAAATAGAGATCCGGGTATAAGCAAGAGGCCTCCAGGCACATCTCTGCTGTCTCCTGGAGGCCTTCCCTCATCAAATCCCAAGAAAGCCACAGGCTGGCTCCTAAGCATAGAAAATCACCATTGGGAAGTACTCACCTATACAGCGCAAAGAAACCACCATGCGGGATGAACAGGAGTCACTGGAAAGAAGAAGGGACTCTGGTTACCACAGCCAGGGATAAGACACTGAAGTCTTCTCCTAGTGTTGCCTCCTGTCCATCACTAATGACCCTACTGATGTGACTAGACCTACGTGGGGATAGTGGCAAAGAATCAACACAGTCAGAGTACCAGGCTCAAATCCCAGCTATGCACCTTTGGGCATGATGTTAACTCTCTTCTGCCTCTTCCCAACAGGTAGAATAAGATTACAATTCAAAGCTGGGCATGGTGGTGCACACCTTTAATTCTAGCACTTGGGAGACAGAGGCAAGCGGATCTCTGAGTTTGAGGGTCAGCCTGGTCTACAGAATGAGTTCCATGACAGCCAAGGTTACCCAGAGAAATCCTGTCTCATAAAAAAGAAAGAAAGAAAGAAAGAAAGAAAGAAAGAAAGAAAGAAAGAAAGAAAGAAAGAAAGAAAGAAAGAAAGAAAGAAAGAAAGAAAGAGGAAGAAAGAAAAAGAGAGAGAAAGAAAGAAAAAGATAACAATTCAAGTTGATCCCTGATCTGCAATGTGCCAAAATCTTAAAACTTTGGAACCCCAACGCCATACAAGTGGAAAATTTCACACCTAATCATACATGAAGGGTCGCAGTCAAATGATAGCGATGCTAGGGTGTTAACAACCTTCAGTCTATGCATATAGGGTATACACAAGGGCCAGTGAGATGACTCAGCAGGTAAGGGTACTTGCCTCCAAGTCTGACAATCTGAGTTCAAAACCTGGAATCCACATGGAAAGGACTGATTCCTCTGACCTTCACATGTGTGCCATAGCAGTACCCCCACATAAACAGACTAAATACATTTAAGTAAAGGAACACATGAAATAAATCACTTCTGTCCTTACATGAATCCTAGCCCCAAAATGTCCCATACATGAGTATTTTAAAAATCTGAATGAACTCTGAAAGTCTTCCTGCCCCCAACATTTCAATACAAGGATGACCTATGATACTACTTGGATGGTGACTTGGGGGTGAGGGCACAGTTGCATCAGTTTTTACTTCTGTCCTTGTATAATTTAAAATCATCCTCTAGTCTGGGTATCAAGGCAAACACTTGAAATTTCAGTGCTAGAGACTCTGAGTGAGGCAGAGGATCACCATTCCAAAGCCAGCATGGGTTACATAGCAAGACCCTGTTACCAGTGAATGAGCAGCCATCCCCTAGTGTCATCAGGAAGCGGTCTGGAAAATGATTTCCCTGGACGGCTTTACATGTAAACCACAGATGAAAACAAAACCAATACTTTGCCAAGGACAAACAAACAAACAAAAGCATAAACAAAAAACAGTGCTCGGTTGGGAGTCAAACTTCCCATGCTGTGTATGAGAAAGAAACAATCAGTGCATTCCATCCGATAGACCCCTGGTGTACTGAAGAGGCCACAGTCCCGATGCCCTGGTGACATCAACTGTCAGCTGTAGTTCTGTAGGGAACAGTTGAGGTCTTAAACATCAATGTCCTACTAGGCCACTGGGACAGATAGAGCCTCACATGTACCAGCCCACTCCACTGTCACCCATGCACACACTGAATGGGGATCTTTCCAAACCCCCAAATAAAGAGCTACCATCACCTGTCCTGGCTAGCTTGTGCCCCTACCAGGATACCAGGTGGGTAGCCTCAAGAAGGAAACATTGGAAAGAGGGCATTTCTACATCATATGGCTTTACTGAAACCTTGACTCTGAACACACACCATGGACACTTTATACTGCACACACAGTCAGGCCATATGCACCAGCGAACGCCTCTGCAAATGCCTCTCTGCAGGGTCTAGACTTCTGTATGTAATGAGCTATAGAATGTTACTGCAATGCCCCATTTCTGTGTATAAAATATATAGGTTTAATTACAGAATGCAGGGACTTTTAATATTTTCCTACCATTACTCCTGTGTATGTAAGTAAATTTGCATCTTTTTAGGTTATATTGTGCCACACAAACAAACTCATTCATCTCATTAGGATACAAATTTGCTTTAATCTTTAATAAGTAGTAAAATCACACACACATACACACACACACACACACACACACACACACACACACACACACACACACACATATATATATACATACATCCAGAGGTGTTGTTTGAAGATAGTTTTACTTATGATTTATTACAGCAAACACTTGATTTGTATATCTATATTATAGTCCTATATGCCTGGCTGGGGTCGCATAAAATTTTCTCGGGTCGACAGGTGTCACAAGTTAAGAAACCCAATACTAGACAATAACTTTCCTGCCAGTCACCTCTGGAGTTGTGAAGGCCCTCACCTAGGATGGTGGCATGAGCCTACCCCTCCCTGTTGTGCTCCCTTCTGTACCAGCAGCCTACACCTCCTCTCTCCTCCCTTCCGCACTTGCCAACTAAGCATAATCCTGAGCCTGAGTCCTTGTGGAAGACAAAGAGCCATTCAACTCACATAAAACACCTGCCACCTCTGCTAAGCCCTACTGTCTAGATGGAACACCTAGCCGGGCACTGCTCTCCAGCCCAGCCAGCCCTGCCACATTCTCAGGGACAGCCAGCCTAAGGCAGGACATCCTGGCTGGTAGTCACCGGAAAGGCAAGCCACTCAGTAGAGGTGGAGTGAGTGATTAGTTCTCCAGCCCTGACATGCAGTTCCTGACAGCCAGCCCTGGAGGCACCTGAGCCACCTGGAGAAGAGCAATGAGGCCCTGGGAAGTCTCTGCACAAAGAAGACATCGTGGATCTCCAACATCAAAAGCACCTGGTGAAGAGCAATGGCCCTGTAAACCCATACCCAAATGATGACTGTCTATGTCCCCCTCCAAACTCCCAGCAGTCCAATCATCAGCCCTAGGATCTGTGGTTTGGATACAACAAATGCTTATTGAACTAACCACTTGCACCAGGGCCCAGAACATTACCCCATGGCGTCCTCTCACTGCCAGTCATGGGCCAGAAAATCTCTTGGACTCCTGGTGCTCAATTCTACAGTGTCATATAGTTTGTCCCTCTGAGCTCATGCCAGAGAATAAGCCCCAGCGTCTATGTTCATGGTACTGACAGAGCAAAGACTTGATGCAACTGTGATGTTTGAAGGTGAGGCTCTGTGAAATTAAGTCATGGGATGGGGAGTCTCTGTGACAGAATCCTGGTGGCCTCATAAGGACAAGGAGAGAGACCACACAGGGCTTAGTGTTCCTGCCACAGTGAGATGACCCTGCTAGAGTCATGCCATGCTATAAGGAACTCGAATCTCTAAAAGCATCAGTCAACAAAACAAAAACAAAAACAAAACCCTTTTCTCTATAAAGCAGCCTGCCTTAGGCATTTTGTTATAGAAACAAAAAGCTAACTAGCATACACTCTAGCACAGTAGACATACTTCCCAGTATCTGGAGAATAAAAAACAAACAAATAACAACAAAAGTCTGGCCAGACAGTAGAGATTGAAACCAAAGTGGCAAAATGGCATGTAGTCTCAGAATAGTTGCTAAGAATGAAGCCAAGGTTGCTGCAGGTCCTGTCTCTAACCCCCAGCAGTGTGAAGCTCATCCCCCATCACTCCCAGAATACAGAGAAATCAACTCAGGATGGCAGCATCTGTTGGATCGGCTCATCCTCCTCAAATTATGCAAATCAAAGGAGCCCTCCATACCTGTGATAGAGCTTTTTATAGAGGTCTATGTTGCCTGCGCTTACATTCAGCTTCATGAAGCTTGTTGCTCCGGTGCTGTCTGGTATTCCTTGGCTAGAATAAAAATTGTTCCTAGAAATGACAGAAAAATCTTACTGAAAATAATGTTTCAGGCATATGAACTCACAAGCCACACCCCATATCACAAAGCACCTTTGGATGATGGCTGTAACAGAAGGGACACCTTAGAAAACAAAATCTAAGTTCAAATTCAGCCATGCTGTGTGAAAGCCATTATCCAATCCAGAAACCTTGACTTGTAAGTTTAGAATCTTCCATTAGCTGTGTTTCAGACCGAGTGAGCTAGGACAATGGGGTGCTGAGGGTGCCCAACTATACATTGTCTAATAAAATGTACAGTTCTTAGTCTGAGCTGTTATAAAATTCCCACTGGTTCTGGACCCGGGGGTGCCTCTGTATACCCAAAACTCTGAGTCACAAGATATTTGTGTATGTGGAGACCAAACGTCAACACTGAGCATCTTCCTCAATTGTTCTCCATCTTATATTTTATTATTTTATATGTGTGTCTGCCTGCATGGATGTCTATTCATCAAACATAAGCCTAGTGCTCTCAGAGGCAAGATGAGTGTGCTGGACCCCCTAGAACTAGAGCTACAGGTGGATGTTAGCCACTGTGTGGGTGCTGGGGACTGAACTTGAATTCTCTGGAAGAGGAATCAGTGCTCTTAACTGCTGAACCATCTTTCTAGCCTCCTCTACCTTGTATTTTGAATCTGAATCTCCTACTGAACCTGGATCTCATCAATTCAGCTAGGCTGGCTGGCCAGCAAGCCCCAAAGATCCTCCCATCTCTGCCTCCCCATCACTGAGATTACAGTTTGCCTCCATGGCTAGCTTTCACATAGGTGCTGGGGATCAAACTGAAGTTCACATGCATTTGTGGCACACACGTTGCCCACTGCGCCATCTCCCCAACCCCATAGGGTGGCATTTTGGAGTGTCCCAATAGCTGAGATGCCAACATTCACATCAAATAACAGTTCAGCTTTGAGAACTGGCAAATAGAATGTCTTAGTGTGCATAGGATCTCACAACTACCCCATGGAAGAGAAATCCTCATTAAAATCATAACTTTCTTCCCAGGCCTGAGAAGTCTTCATGAGAGCCAAAGTTTGGATATGGTTTACCTGCTTCAAATCCACACTGAGAGGGCTCTGATGCAGCAGTGTTGAGAGGCAATAGGAACTTAAGTAACATCTGTGCCACAGCAACTCCACTCTCACAAAGGGATTAATGCTATTCTAAGGGGTTGACTTAAATCTCACCAAAGCAGGTTGTTTCACAGCAGATCCAGCCCCCTCAACCTCACCCACTACATGTGCTCATCAGCTCTCCCACTTTTCTACCATGAGATGAAACAGTACAAGGCCTTCACCAGAAGCCAACACATGATCTTTGATTTCCCCCAGAATAGTGGGCTAAAATAAGCCTCCATTCCATACAAAGAACCAGCCTCAAGTGTTTTGTTATAGCAGAAGACACTAGGCAATGCTGGAGCCCCTAGCCAGGAAGTGATGGTGGGAGTTATTCTTTCTCAACCTTGGTTCCTGCACACAGGAAGGATTTCTTTCTTTCTTTCTTTCTTTTTTTTTTTTTTTTTTTTGGTTATTTGAGACAGGGTTTCACTGTGCAGTCCTGGCTGTCCTAGAACTCACTCTGTAGATCAGGCTGGGCTTGAACTCAGAGGTCTACCTGTCTCTGCTTCCTGAGTGCTGGGATTAAAGTCATGTGCCATTACCACCTAGCAGAAAGGAATTCCTAAGTGTGATTCTGCTCAGGTCTCTTCCATTCCCAAAGCCTCAGTGGCTCCTGCCTACAGTGAACAGAGCAAAGGCTCAGCTCATCTGAAAAGTTCCAAGGACAGAAAGTGACCATTGCCCTTGTTTTATACCCCTCTTACTGTCACACCAGCACTGCATGGGTGTTCCCAAGTAGCCAGGAAAGATGCAGGACAAGTGGCAGTGAGCCTAGGTTGACAGTGTTGGGGTGATGAGGTTGCCCTCTGGTTGTAGGATCAGCTTTTGCAAGGTAACTGCAGCATCCAGTGCCTGGCACATACAGAGAGCTGGAGAGATGGTCTGCCTGTCGTCAGTGTCATTGTGATGGCACTGTGTCCCTCCTGAGGGCACATACTCACTTGTATCCCATGTCTTTACATGCTGCTCTATCGTAGCTCTCATTCCAGTCATCCTGGCATACGGGATACCAAGCTTTCCTCTGAGATGAGTAAACCTGGAGGGTGAAGCTTGGTCCATAGAGGCGAACTGCTCAAAGAGAAAGATGACCCATGAATCCTTGACTCTTAATCCATGTCTTCCAGATGTTGCCCTAGCCCCACACTGCCCATGCACATTACCGCAGCTTCTTCCTAGGGCCAACTCCTAGGAAACATGAACTCCTGTTTTCCTGATAAAAAGCATTCTAAAAGAATTTCAAAAGGATATTTAAACATAAATTCTTCACAATGGCCCACAGCCTGTGAGTGACCATCATTGGATGCCACAGGCAAACAGCGTGATGGAAAGTCATTCAGCTGTCAATGGGAATGAAGCTCTGATGGGAGCCACTACATGAATGGGCCTTTAAGGTGTGACACAAAGTGACAGAGTCATAGTAGCCCACAGATTGGGCAATCCCAAGCATGTGAAAAGTCTAGACTAGAAAACCTAAGAAAGGGCTGGAGAGATGACAGCCGTTAAGAGCACATACTGCCCTTGTAGAGGACCCAAGTTCAGCACCCAAGTTTGGCAGCTCAGAACAGCCTATAACTGCAATTCCAGAAGATCTGATGCCTTTATTCTAGCCTTCTGTGATATTACAATCATGTGGCATACACACACTGAGAAACACACACACACACACACACACACACACACACACACACACACACACACACATTTATTTATTTATTTATTTGTTTTAAAAGAAAATCTAAAAAAGAAGGGATATTAGTAATTTCTTGGGACCAGAGCAAGACGGGCAGAAGAGCCTTATCAAGGAGATGGGCTACTCCTCAACTACCTATGATCAGGGGCTACACATGTTCAAATATATAAAAACCACAGCTCAGACATTCATCAAGGACAGGTTATGAGATATAAATGATAGCTCATTGGTTTAAAAAAAAGAATAAAATTCAGAGCAAAAACAAAAATCCCCATCAAGCTCTCATTTTGTACAAATTGATCTCACATCCAGATCTCAGACACTGGCAGAGTACCCAAGGCCCTGACAAGCACCCCAGAATTAGTACCTGAATGCTGAACTGTTCATTTGCCTTTTGCTTGAAAAGATATCAGCTCTTTCATTTAAAGAACCAACACATTTAAAGGCAGCTAGTTTCTTCCTTACTCAGCTCTGGTCTCCAGAGAGAACTGCATAGCCCATCATTCAAAGGACTTGTCATCTGACAGAATGATGAGAATGGCCAACTCAGAGCAGACTTCTAACTGGTGGGTGACCCAGTGGGTACGGAGTTTACAAGAAGAATCTTGTAAACAGTGCCACACCACAGACAGTCAGCAGCCAAGAGACACATTCTGTATCTCACAACTGTAGAGTTTAAAAGCACATCAACAGGACTACGTGATCAGGGGAAGACAATAGGATCTGGTCAAGCCTTGACTCACTTCTCACCACCATCCTGGACCTAACTCATTGGACAAATAGCCTGACACCTTAGGGTCACCTTCTCAGAGAGTGACCACTCTAGGGCCTGACTGTCTTCCCTGGGGATAAGCACGAAGCCACATAGCATGTATGGCCTAGCCATGTGTTTCGTGGGTGGATAAAACTCTGTTACAAGCTGGGCAATGGGATGTCACTCATTACCCAAGAGAAACCACAAAGCTGTGAAAATCCCAACCACATATTGCAAAAAGAATGACGCCAATCTGAAAGGTATGCAACTTGCAGAACACCCGCTACAGAACATTCTAGAAAAGCTAAGCTATGGAGATAGTCAAAGATCTGAGACTGGTAGGGGATACTGCAGGAAGAGGAATTGCAGGGCACAGTAGGCTTGGGCAGGGCACTCCAGGGGTAGGTACACAGCCAGTGCTGTGTCTTTGTCAAACCCATAAGGTCACACCAGGGGAAGATAAAATTCAACACAAACTCGTGGCTCTGGCTCCCGGGGACAAGGTCCAGTGATCAGTGTGTGTTAATGCCTGGGTGATTGCTGGAGGAAGGGTGGCCTCTTTCTGCAGGCCTAACAGTGCTTTCAAAATTAAAGTGCTTAAATGTAGCTAAGATTGTATGCTTCCAGTTAGTGATGGAAGTGGTAGGGACAGTGATGTAAGGGGTGGCTGTCCTGCCTCCTGTCTGTCCTCCAATACTGATGGGGAGGCAACATGATGGGAACATGCTCCCAGAGAGAATTTTTTTTTAATAAGTGTTAGTATTTTTTCCTAATTTTTTCAGAGCTCTAAATGATAAGTGAAAGTATATGTTTGTAGTGCCCAAGGTGATGATTTGGTAAGTGTCCATCATGAAATATTGCCACTACCAATTAAGTACGCTCACCTCCTTTCCTCATACTAGGTTCTTTCCCTTGTCTGTGGTGAGAACACTTAGGATTGGCTGTCAACGACCCTTAAGCACTTAGCACATGTGGGCTGCTCAACCATGATCCCTGTGGACAAGGGAGTTGGGCTCAGAGCTCCATGAAAAATGAAATGGCATCTTTGTAAAAAGAACCTTGAAGCAGCCACCTGTGGTGGTATTTTACTTGTACTGAAATGTGATTTTAATTGTATGTTAATAAATAAAGTTGTCTGGGGGTCAGAGCTATTAGAGCCATAGCAAGTGCGTGGCGGTGGTGGCGCACGCCTTTAAGGACCTGGAGGGCGGTACATACAGGCAGTGACGAGGCAGTCACATGTTTGGGTTTACAGCCAATGAGAAGGCAGAACAGCTAGAGTATATAAAGACATACACACAGGAAGTAGACCCCTTTCGGAGAGCTCTCTTGGCTGAAGAGGATCACTGAATCAGGAAGGGTGAGGCTCTTAGCTCTGACCTCTTGGCTTTCTTCTCTGAATTGGCTCTGTGTTTCTTATTTAATAAGATGGTTGGTTACATCTACAGCCACCCAAGGAGGTGTGGCAAACAAGTGGAAACATTGCAGTTCGTGTGTATGTGTGTGAGTGTGTATGTGTGTGAGTGTGTATGTGTGTGTGTGCCTAATGTGTATACACATATGTATATGTGTGGTAGTGGGGATTAGATCTGCCTGCCTCTGCCTCCCAAGTGCTGGGACTAAAGGCATGTGCACCATCAGACCTGGCTAGAACCAAGGTTTTTTTTTTTTTCCTACTATAGACCCTTTGTTCTTCCTAGATTTTGATCTATGCTGTGAGTACATTAACTGCTAAAATATCTAGTACAACTTAAACATGGAGAGAGACCTTCTGGATTCCAGAACATGGGGGCACACTCATGAAATCCAGCCTCTAGAAGATGGAGACAGGAGGATCATGAATTGAGACCAGCCTGGGTAACTCAGTGAGACCCTGCCTCAAGAAAAGTGGGTATGCATGGGCATGTAGAGTGGAAGTAGAATGCCTGCCTTACATGTGTATGGTCTTAGCTTCCACCCAGTGTTGAAATGAAATGAAATTAAAACCTCTCTAACAGAAGTTTATTGCTCATGCACACACAGGAGCAGGAATGCATTGATGTCTACTGCACATAACATCTTAGCCATTCTCAACTCAAACCCTTTACCTAAGACATTTGCTGTCACTCAAAGAAAGGAAAAGAGCTGTCTTAAGCTGTAGACACTGTATCTTCCAGGTACATATATGCTGAAGGACCAGGAGTCACAGAACAGGTATCAGTCCACTCAAGTGGGCTGACAGCTGGGCCCAAGGAGGCCACTGATCCTCCCTGGGAAGTTCTCTGAGCCAGGACCAATGCTACAGAATCTAATTTACACAGGAGCATGGAGGTGAGGATGCAGCAGAAAACAGCCCTACCCAAAGGCAGCCCAGAATAAACAAAACCCACCTCGGACAACTAGGTCTATGGGTTGTTTTTTACCCCAAACTCCAAGAGGACTGGAGACTACTTGGTGGAGACAGCAAAGCCTGGGAGACTCCTGGAGAGACTGACTGCGACATGAACTTCTCATTTAGGAGAATGTCTCCTGGGCTTGGAGTCAGGAAGATTGTACAGAGCCACGGCTGACCTCAGCCCCTGGGCATCATCAGTGCTTAGGGAATGAGTTCCAAGAGAGGCAGAAAAGCAGGACAGGACAGGACAGCTGTCCCAGGGGGCAAGACAGCAGCTCACTGTCGACTGCAGAGCCAGGGAGGCACAGGGTCTGTGTCATCTCATCACCCCTCATCACTGAGCAAACGCCAGCGCTGAGCAAACGCCAGGGGACTCCGCCTAGAGTGCCAGGGTGTCAAGAGGCCCAACTTCAGACTCTGAGCGGAACAGGATTGGCACAACCCTGCTCCTCAGGCATTTTTCTTGGGTCCAGCCTCTTGACTACCCTTGAAGTCAAAAATTAACAGCACAAGAGAAACAAATGCAGGGCCATGGAGATTATTCGGTGGGTTAAGAAGCCTGTTACCAAGCCCAAGAACCTGAGTTTGATCTCCCAGGATCCTCATTGTGAACAGAGAGACCCGACTCCCAAAAGTTGTCCTCCACCTCCACACATGCATCATGGATAGCAGCATCTTCCCTGCCATACACAAAGTAAGTAATTGTTTTATTTTAAAAATTAAAACTTCAAAGGGATATTGCCTTGTACCTGTTATTAGAATGGGTGTCATTAAAAAGTTGAACATAACAAGTGCTGGTGAAGATGAAGAGAGAAGGGAGCCTATGAATTTGGGAGTGGGAATGTAATATGTCCAGCCAGTAATGAAAAACAATATGGAGGCTCCTTGAAACCACTAAAACCGAATTATCACATTATCAAGCAATCCCACTTCTAGAAACGAAACTAAGAATCCACCATCTGGTGCATGGGTGAAGAAATATGGTCCATGTACACAACAGACTAGGATCCAGCCATAAAAAGGATGGAATTCTGCCACTTGGGACAATACAGATGACCCTGGAGGACTCTGTACTAAGGAAATAAGCCAGTTCAGAGAAGCAAGCATCACAAGCTCACATACACACACACAGAATCTAAAAAGTCAAACTCACTGGAGCTGAGATGACAGTGTTGGTCACCAGAGGCTTCGAGGAAGTGGTTGGGGACAGCTTGTCAAAATACACAATTTTTAATTACATAGGAAGAATGAATTTAAGAGATCCATAGTGCAATACAGTAATAGATGTTAACAGCACACTGCCCATTTGAAAACAGTCCACCATACATGTAAGAGCACAGGGGGTGTATGTTAAGTAGTGTGATTACCCCATCCATGGGAGTACACATAGAGAGACATCACACTGTACCTGACAAGCATGACACAAGCTTGTCAGTTATTATGTAAACAGTTGAAATAAACAAAGCAAATTCATTGTTCACTGCTGTCCCAGTGGACATGACCTTAAAGGCAGCTCTTTTTAAAACCAGCATAGTGCACTCCAGCTTCATGTTTTCAACAGCCTGCTTATTTTAACTGCCATGCTCACTGAGTCCTTCCTGCTTTATCACCTGCCCATCACGCTGTGTGGTGCAGGGCCAGGAACACAATCCTGAGTGTAGGAGTGCTAATACATGCATCAGTGGACTGGGCAGAACCCCCCAGCTGCTACTTCATGGCAGACATACTGAGCCCAGTGCTTGCTGGGCCAACTCACCACACCGGTTCTCATCTTCCCCGTTGGGGCAGTGTGATATCCCGTCACACCAGAGAGAAGAGCTGATGCAGGTGCCCGAAGACCCACACTCCATCTCAGAGGTAGAGCACTTGCTATCCCCTGGCACTGGATTGGGAGAAAAGGAGGGAGACTCATCAGACTGAGCATCCAAGAAACTGCAGAGCCCATAGGAAGCTTGTCATTCACCCTCAAGCCCAGTGAGTAGAAGAAATTGCCTCTTCATAAGGAAGGGACATGTCATTGCCACCTTCATACACATGGAGCTAGGACTGGGCTGTCTTCTGCAGAGCCAATGGGAAGGGTGCTTGGGTAAGGGGAGCCCTCACACCTCCTCTTTGCCCTCCAGTGGGCCTCAGGGGTCCACCAGGTGCCCATGAGTCTGCATCATCCCAGGCCACTTACAGAGACTTTAGTTACAAGATGTGGCATAGGGAGGGGACTGCCAGACAAGGATACCATAGTTGTGCAGTGATATACAAGGGTCAGACTATGGCTATGCTTCCTTAAACATCCCCATCTCATTTGATCTTAGATGCTCAGCAGGATACAGCAGAGTTGGCACTTAGATGGGAGAACTAGTTTAGGATTTTCACAAGCCACAAGTTAGGGGAAGGAAAGTACAGACTCACGGGTGCATGGAGAAAAGGGAGGAAAGGGCAGCCTTGCCAAGAAGGGAAAACCTAATTGGAAGGCATCGAGTGGCTCCTCCAGCCTGGGGAGCAAGGGTCACAGTCATAGCCATGCACACAGTGGCAGCACCCAGCCCAAAACTTACAGAACCTCCAAAGCAAGACAGCAGCCACAACAGCACCCACAAGGACAGTGCCCAGGGCGAGGGCGACACACAAGGATTTCTTGGTCTCTGCAGAAGACAGGGATGCTCAGGTCAGTGTTGTGAGAAAGCAGTCTTTCCACCATGCATTATTGATGCTCTTCAGTATCCCACAGTTACCACAGAGTTACTCAATTTGAAAATATCACAAGTCAAAATGGGTATAATTGCACATGCCTGCCTATAATCCTAGTACTCAGGGGTGAGTGGGGAGTTGAGAAGGACAGGGACAAGAGTTTAAAGCCAGCCAAAAATGCATGAGCTCCTATCTCAAAATACTGAAAAGGAGGAGGAGAAGCAGGAGGGGGAAGAGATCAGAAGTCCAAGTCCAAAGTGCATTTGCTTCACATAGCCAACAGTCAGCCTAACCTGGGCACCTTTAAACTTGTTTAGAACTTCTCGAAAAACCAAAAAAAAAAAAAAAAAAAAACTTGTTTAGAACTCTTGCATTACCTATAGCTGGGGAAAACACCCAGCTAGATGTCTGTTCATAACAAGGTGGTGGATTCTGCATGCACCTCATTGAATACCACACTGAAACTGAAAAGTAGAATGGTTTTATGAGTACACTTTCACACCATCATGAAGTCAAAAGTCCTAGTTTAGCTACTGTATGTGGGGCCATTTAGATACATTAGAGAAGAATAAACACTGATTTATTCATTTGTTTTTGTGCTGCTAAAGATAAAACCCAGGGTTTCACTTATGTTAGGCAAGTGCTCTACCACTGAGCTACACCCCTACCCTAAGAAACAGTGTTGCCTACACTCTTACAAATGTCAGTTTGAACATTAAGGGTACCACTTGGGGTCTTGATGCTTCTGTAGTGTGAAACACATGCTTAGGGAAATGGAAAATGAAGTTACAATTTGAAATGAAATCCAGCAAAACTAAGCTCTTAAAATGCCAAGACACCTCAGAAAGGGTCTGAAAATAGGCCAATGTTCACCTAAAAAACAGCTCAAGAAGGAGAGCTGCCTCATTTTAGCAACTGCAAGTTTGAGTCACATAATGCCGTCCCCCAAAGCATCCTGGGGCTGCTAGGGGATGCCCTTGGCAGAACACCTATCCTTCCCACAACTGCTGGAAGAACCCAGTGGAATTTGACAACTACTAGCCACTTACTGCTACTGATACTCTCAGTAATTACAGCTAAGTGGAATTAAACTAAAGTGTATAAATTGAAGCATTCAGTTGCCACAAGGGGGCTGGCAAGATGGCTTGGCAGGTAAAGGCTCTTGCTTAGAACTTACATAGTAGAAGGAGAGGGCTGAATCCAACAGGCTACTCTGACCTCTACACACTCTGTGGTACCTCACCACACACAAAAAAAAATGTTAAAAACAAACAGATAAACAAAAACAACAAAACAAAGAACTGGAGAGATGTCTTAGTAGCTAAGAGCAGCTTTCAAAGAGTTCCTGGGGACTGGTCCTCATCCCTATCACCAGGGACTGTGCTTCTGTGGTAAAATGGGCAATCTGTACTCCCAGCAGCCTCACAGCAGAGGCCCAGGTCTGAAAACTTCACAAGGCAGCCTGTGATTTTTATCAAAATGCAGTGAGGGGTGACTGTGCCTTCAGGCGCCAGGGTGGAGCCACCAAGAAACCCACAGGAGAAATTCTTGATGGCTCACCTGATGAATTGCCAAGCACATTTTTCTCTTTGGGCAACTTATCTGCATGCCATTGCATCTAAGATAAAATAACTTGCTTAAAGCTGGCCATGTGGCTCAGAGGTAAACACTTGCCTAGCATGTTCACGAGCCTAGCTCAGCGGAAAAAAACAAACACAAAATCAGTAACTTGGCTCATGAGTAAGGGAGATTAAATCAGGTGTCCTTCAGCTCTGGCTGGGGCATGTGCAGAGTCTCAATCTGGCTGGTTTGCTCAGGACCACGTCTGCAGCAAGAAGCCCCATTTCACCTCTGGACAGGCATTTGTCACCAGCTTCAGTCAGCATAGCACAGATTTGCAGGGTTTAGTCTTGGACTACTGCTCATTTACATCCATCTTTACCAGCACAGCCTGTTGACTCAGCCCTGTGGTATCTCTGCATCACAGGACTGTTGACTTTGAATTCTTCAAAGGCTCTTGCAGGTGCATACACTGCCATTCAAATGGGAATGTCCCATGGCACTTGCTAGAGCAAACAGATAAATCCAAAGTAGAATGTCCTTACACTCCTGACATAATGTGGAACACCAGTTCAGAGCCCAAGGTCATTCTGGCAAAAATGTAGACTTTCTGATGTCTAATATGTCAACAACAAGTTTTTTCTTTTTCATTCTTCTTTTTGGTGTGTGTATGTGTGTGTGCACAGATGCCCTCAGAGGCCAGAAGATGGCATTGGATCCTCTCCAATGGAGGGGTTGTAGAACTCAAGTGCTCTGTGAGAACAGCTAGAATGTTCTTTACTGTGAAGCCATAACTCCAGCCCCAGTAACATGATTTTAAAAACAATGTCAATAATAATAATAAATAAAAATAATAAAAAATAATAAAAATAAAATTACTAAATTACTTTCCAGTTCATGAGACATGGGCATCAGTCTGTACTTCTGTCAGACCAATGGTGAGAAGCCCAAGACTCCTGTCTGAAAGCCTGATCATCAAATAGCGATTTTCTCAAAGCATAGCCACCAGTTTTACAATGCAGTTTTATAGTGGAAAAATCACACCCTAGGGTGTATCCTTCCTATATATAGGCCATTGGCAGAAAGCCAACATGTTCCTTTCCCCTGATTACTCCCTTGGAATGTGGAAGTATTCAGTGAGGTGCACTGGGACCCTTCTGCCTTCTGAGTTAACTGCGGAGAGCCGGGCAGTCTTTTTAGAGGTACAACCTTATACAGGCCCTTCCTCACCCTGGCTTTCTTCCAGCCACCATGGTGAGTGAAGACCAAGCATTCTGCTCTGCAGAAGTCAGCTGACTCTGGCTGGACTAAGATGAAAGGGGTTGATGGAGACAGGGAAGAGAGCAAGACAACAGAGCAAAGGACAGAAGAGCCACCCACACAGAGGGCCCACTTGTGGTAATACATTGTGTACCCTAATAAATTTGCCTGAAGATCAGAGAGACAAAGGAACAAGCCACCTCTTGCCTCTAGGACTCCTCAGCCTGAAAAGGCTTCCTCAGCCAAAAGACTTTAGTTCCTGTCTCCTCACGCCTTATATACCTTTCTCCACCCACCCATATCATTTCCTGTCTCAACTTTCTTGGTGCTGAGATTAAAGGTGTGTGACTCCTAAGTACTGGGATTAAAGGTATGTACCACCACTGCCTAGCTCTGTTTCTCTCCTAGACTGAGTCAATCTCATGTAGCCCAGGGTGACTTTGACCTCATAGAGATCCAGACAGATTCCTGGAGTGCTAGGATTAAAGGTGTGTGCCACCACTGCCTGGCTTCTATGTTTAATCTAGTTAGTGGCTTGTTCTGTTCTCTGGTCTTCAGGCAAATTTATTAGGGTACACAATATATCGCCACATCAAGTAGTGGAACAGAAATAGGAGAGGGACAGCAGGAGAGCCAAAAAGGTCTAAATAGGACAGACAGATCCTTGAAGCCTAAGGTCTATCACTTGATTGCTGATGAAGTGATGGGTGGCCCACAGAATTCACTTCCTTATCAATCTTGAACTGTACATGACACACATAGACAGGTGCTCATTTCATAAAACAGAAACTATCCATTAAAAAGCTTGTGTGGAGCTGGAGAGATGTTAGGAACATCTACTGCTCTTCCAAAGGAACCAAGTTCAGTTCCCAGTACTCATGTTGAGTGGTTTACAACCACCCACAATACCTGTAACTCCAGCTCCAGATGATCCAACACCTTCTCTGGCCTTCATAGGCACCTGCACACATGTAACCTACACATGCTCTCATAATACATAATAAAATACATAAATAAAAAATAAATCTGAAAAAATAGCTTATCAGTGTAGCCAATACCATCCTTTACACCAGACAGACAACACTGGGAACAGCCTGAATTAAAAAGTAGAGGGACGTAGGGGTAAGGAATCTGGAGAGAGAGCGTAACTCATTGATTGAAAGGGCCAAAGGAGAGGGCAAAGACATTCAGATTTCGTACTCAACCTTCAGCACTGTTCTGGGGTTGCATAGGGATTGGAGGACTAGGGAGGTAAAACGATACATCTCATTTCTGTGCTATTCCCAGAGTATCTGCTGAAAATAGAAAGGTGACAGAGAGTGGGATAGTAGTCATGCCAGGGAAGGGGTACCTAGTTCCCCTAGAAAGGATACAGGCAGACCCTAAAAGGAGAAACCCCTTCGTGGAGGACATCCTTTTTTCTGGGGGCAAGCACCGGCAGAGGGGAGAGAGTGGTAACAGGTCTCTGGCTAGCCACAGGAGATATCTTAACCTTGAATCTTCTATATAACCTTGAATCCTTCTGAGGACATCAATAACATATAAGACTCCCAACCTTGAGTGCTCACTATTGACAAGACAAAACACCCATAATCACAGAGGCAAGAATGAGAAACCATGCCCCCAAAGACTAGCTGAGCTGGGCAAGCACACAGTGGTGCTGCACCAAAAGTCAAGGGAAGAGGAAGGTCTCTCTCTGCCAAAGAGAGTGAGGCTAGTACCATGGTTCTGACCAGCCACAGAGTGGAAGACAGGCAGGAGAGACTGGCCCTGCTGCCGGTGCAGAGACCACAAGAATAAGAGACCACAAGAGAAGGCCGACCCAGAAACTGCAGTCCCTTGTGTTACAATGCTGAAGAGTCTTACGTGAGGTTGAGGTGCACAGTGTCCCTAAGGACTTGGGCTGTGTGCGGATGACAGGTGTTGAGGCCTGCGTTGTAACCCTCGGGGCATATTGAGGCACTGGAGATGGGTAGTACTGAGCTGGATACAGGTTGCAGCCATTGGGAGCCACAGGTGGCCTCGGGGGATAGAAGTGCTCAGACTGATACCCGTGGTTCTCATAGTAAGGTCCAATTCCTGGAGGTGACCCCTAAATGATAGGAAAAGAGATAAATCAGTTACAGCTCTCATTCACCCTAAAAGCTTGGAAAGTTAATATCACGTTATGTTCCCATAAGAGCGGGAGAGCCAGGATATTCACCAAGCATCAAGGCATTACAACAACTCGCTTAGAATGACTAGACTCTGTTTCTGAATTAACTTAACAATGTGCTTCTTTGGCTTTGGTTTCCTAGTTCACTTGTTTTAATTATTTACTCTTTGAAATAAAGAAAAGGTGACTGATAATTGAGATCCCATAGGAAAAAAATAAAGAAAAAAATGAATACAAGTTTGGGGTCAAAAGTCACTGAGCTAGAATCCCATTGCTCTGGTTCCTTCCTCCAGGTTACCCCCTGAGCACTGGGGTGTGAAATTATGAGCCAGGCTGATTCAAAACAGCTCATGCCTGAGAACTCACCTGCTGAAGAGACCACATTCAGTTCCTATGTATAACCTCCAGTGTGGTAAATGCACATTTTTCAGCTGAGCTGAGAATCTGCTAGAAGGAACCCAAGATGCAGGTTCCTCTGGCTATTCTCTCCCAGGGCCCCTTCTCTCATGCAGCTATAGTTGGCAGTCATTTACTCACCGGCTCTCATCAGGGGGTTGCTAGCTCAGAGTAAATAACCCTATACAGTGTGTACATCTTGGTGCAGCGGGTTCAGGTGCCCTTTCAGTGGAACATGGGGGTCAAAGCATGTGCTGTGTAAATGTGAAAAAGACAGGATCCTTTGCTGGGGTGTCGATCCTTTCACTTAGCCCATTTTACATGCCTTCCTCAAGCTGCATTCCCACCCCTAGCAGTCCCTAGGACTTCATAGCTTTAGCATTCTTATTTCCAATCTCCTCATTTTCAGTGGCTGGACCTCTCCTGGAGGTTCCAGTTACCTTCATCCATGTCTAATGGTTCTTACCCAAAACTCTCCAGCTCCCTTTCTGCTCAGTCTCTCTCATTGGCCTCGGGATTAATAAGACATTATCCTTTGGAAGCAGGTATCCTCAGTAGGGGCCACTAATGTTCAGATTTTTAAAAACTAATTTATGTGTATGTTGCCCATGTGTGTAAACAGGGATCAGAGAACAACTTGTGAGAGTCAGTTGTCTCCTTCCACCCTATCAGTCCCAAAGATTGAATGCAGGTCATCTCTTACCTTATAGAGCTGTCTTGCTGGCCTAGAGGTTGAAAAATTTAAGCGTGACAACATGAACACTCCAAGGTTAACAATTTGTGTTTAATAACTCAGCACTCGGCTTCAAGTCATAATCTTTGGACTTTTGAAGAAGAGTGGTGGGACAGTGAAAGCCATCCCTCATCTAAACAGAGCACTCCAGATTCAGAAATCAGGTGAGTTTCTGGCCCAGATCCCTCTCAGGAGTAAAGGCCAAGACATACCAAGCACTTTGTCCAGGATGGTGCTCTTAAAATTATAAAGAGATCCAGTTAAAAAAAAAAAAAAAAAAAAAAAAAAAAAAAAAAAAAAAACCTAAGTACCAGACTCATAAAATGGAGCACTGGCATGTTTCCCTGAAGATCCTAGAAAAATATTCTTATTAGCCAATAAGTATTTATAAATGTGGAAGATGTAAGGTGCACTGGTCAGGCTTAAGGATGACAAAAACAGCTGCTTTTATTGCTCTAGGGAGTGGGCTCCCAGTAGGAATGAACTACCCAAAGCCTCATCCAAGTGTGGCTGTTCCCCAGATACTAATAGGCAGACACTCGACAGCATCGTCACAGACTCTCCTCCCTAAACTGATGCTCTCTGCCCCATCCTGCCTCTCCTGTATGCATATCTATTGCCCTTGAAGGAGGAAGAGAACACACACAGTGTACCAATCCCAGCTTTGCTCAGTGGTGGCTTTCCAGACACTCTGTGCCTTATTGGGCTCCATCCCTGCCCTCACCCTTTCCAACATAACTGTGGTGGTTTGAATAAGAATGCCCTCATAGGCTCATATATTGAATGCTTAGTCACTAGTGAATGAAACTCTTTGAAAGGATTAGAAGAATTAGGAGGTGTGGCCTTGGTGTATCACTGGGGATGGGCTTTGAAGTTTCAAAAGTCCATGCTGCCTGTAGATCAGGATATAGAACTCTTAGCTACCACTCCAGAAACTACCTACACACCACCATACTCCCTACAAAGATGATAATGGACTAAACTTTTGAAACTGTAAGCAAGCCCCCAATTAAATGCTTTCTCCTGTAGGAGTTGCCTTAGTCATGGTGTCTCTTCACAGTGATAAAACAGTGACTAATTCAGCAATAGAACAGTGACTAATTTAAACACTTTGAACAACGTCCAAAGGGCCACCTGCTCCTACACACAGCTCTTAAAATTACTGATGGATACCTGTGGAAGATAACAGAGGGATGAAGGAACAAGGAAAAGGCGAGAGATGTTAACAATTAACCACTTACTGAGTTCAAAGCCATCCTGGCTGTGTCAGCAACATGAGGAGGTGAGTATCTGGCTTCTTCCAGGTGCCCTAATGGAAAGAAGCACACATGATAATATTTCAATACAGTTTAGTTTTGGAAGACTCCAGGTGAAAGTCACATCGTACTAGAGTAAGCTGCAGTTCTGCTCCTGGCTTGGAGCCTTCCCTTCACCTACATCTTCCCAGGTCTCCTCATTCCTGGTGTGTTTGTGCCGTGCAAACTAATGTCCTCCTTCCTTTGGGGTGTAGAGAAACTCATGAGCGAGACTGGGATACAAGTTGAACTACTGTGACCAGAAGAGCCTGGCCTTGAAGAAGTGGGGACAGGCAGAAGGCCCTGCCTCCAGGGGAGTACCCGAGGCTGAGCCTGGTATTCCAAGCCCTTCTATACTTATATGGTTCTCAGCAAGGGAAAAGTAATGGCTCCTCCCACTTACATTCACCAAAAGGAAGATTCATGGGGAAAAAACACAAGAACCATCAGAAACATCAAAACCCCATCCCACTCCATAGAAGGCAACGGCAGTCCTACAAGGCAAAGACCTGAGGCTGTGCACCTTCCTGGAAGCATCCTTAGCCAGGTAACTGAACGAGCCTGACTTCACAAAGTGGATACCATGGCTGACACATTGTTAAGATGGGGTTCACTGCAAATATGCATGGAAAGGGGTCTTCAGAGAGCAGAAGAGCAGAGGAGCAGCTGTCAGAATTAGACATACCCTTTTTAGAACTCCACAGGCATGTTCCTGCAGACACCTGCCATGGAACTGGTGGCCTGCAACTGAACACCAGAGACAGGTCACACTGGACTCCTCTACATAAGCTCACAGGGTTACCCAAGCTTTAGTAAATAATATGTTTTATAAATCCTTATAATACATTGCTATGGTTCGAATGTAAAATAGCACTCCAGTTAGTGGTGCTGTTTTGGAACAGCATGAGCCTTTTGGAGCATGGGACTTGAGGCCTACAGGCCAGCTCTACTCCCTGGCTCTGCTTCTGGCTAGAGGTCCTGCTTCCTGATGTACTAGGATGACAGCAAGCAGCTTCATGCTCCCACTGATGCAGACAGGAGGTGGTCCTGGGCCATATCTTCCCAGCCATGAGGGATGTATTTCCTGAACAGAGATCCATAATAAATCCTTCCAGTTTGGCCAGTTATCTAGCACAAGGAAGAAATGGTGCATGACAAACAGATCCACCCCCAATCTGTTTACTACCACAAACCCTAACAGAAAACAGTGCCGACCTAACTACTTTGACTGACTCAGTGATATATGGTTATGAGAAGTCCCTGGGTCATTTCATATGTAGCCACATGTGAAAAGTCGATAGCAACCAGAAATGCCAACAAGCATCAAGTCCCTTACTTAAGCAAACCATCTTTCCCAGCATCGTCCTCCACTGACAGACTTTCATCAAGCTTCTGAACCTTTGTGCACTCCCTCATGAAAATCTAGTTTAATGAAACCTTGATTAATCAGTTTACTGAGAATCCCGATTTTCAATAGATTCCTAGTCCTCTTATCAACCTCAAAGGATACCTGGTGAGCTTGACCTGCGTTCAGCAGGAACCCTGTCAAGTCAGGCTAGCCAGATCCCTCTCACTCATCTTATATCTTACCAATTTCCCATCCACAGACACTCTGCTCCACAGCTGTAGGTTACCATTCTCTCTTGCTGCATTGAGAATCAGAGCGTCTCTTCCCCACCACAAAGCTTCCTGCCTGGTCACTCCACGTGCTGAGATGCTCCTGAATCCATTGATCCTCGCCTTGCCTTAACAGGAGTTGTTGCATTTTTTTTCCATTGATATCCTCTCTATGAGGGCTTTGCTTCACACCTCCCAACTAGACTTGAAATGATCTCAGACTATTCTAAGAAACGATCTTCGGGGAGGGGAGTGTTTAGCTATCCACCAGATAATCTGACAAGGAAGGCTGGGAGGAGTTCAGAAGCCAGGAGGAGCCCTTTTCATCTACAAGGACCAGGTGCTTGGGTCCTGGGAAGATGATCAATGGGTAAAGGGCTTGCTAAGCAAGCATGAGGATCTGATTTTGGATCCCAGAACCCCCATAAAAATTTGGGCATGGAGGTGCCCACCTGTAATCCTAGTGCTAGGGAGGCAGAGCCAAGAGGATCCCTAGGACATGAATGGACACTCTTGCCCATTCTGTGAGTTCCAGGCTCAAATACCCTGTCTCAAAAAATTAAAGAGGAAAGAGGGAGAGGAAAACACCCAGCATCTACTCTGGATCTCCACATATGCACACATGTGTATGCACACCTACACACACACACACACACACACACACACACACACACACACACACACACGCACGCACGCACGCACACGCACACGAACACATAAACATGCATACACTACACTACACACCTACAAGCCTGCTGCTTAGGTACACAGAAAGTAGTAGGCAGCACTACATAGCTAGATGCTATGAAATTAGGGACTAGGCTTTAGGCGGGACTTGAGTCCCAACCTAGATCCAGTCTCTCACTAGCTGTGACCTGGGAAGGTCCTATGCCTCAGTTCTCTTTCAAGATACACAGAGATTATACTAATCTCAGGAGCTTGAATAAGTTAACACTAATGCAATTGGTGTTGGTACACAGTGTTAACTTAGTCTTAGTTAAATAAAAACTAACTTTACCTGGGGATGTAGCAAGGTAGAGTGCTGGCCAATCACTCAGGGGACCTTGGGTTTGATCCCAAACACCACTGAAGAAGCAATTCTAAAGGCTGCTAGTCGGGGTTGAGGGTAGCCTCTCCTTCAACACTTGCAGATTGGTACTGGTATTCTTCTAAACTGTGAGAAGTTCACCTGCTCTCAAAGCTCAGTGTCTCTGAATGGAGCAGCAGAGGACACCTGTTCATCTCCTAAGCAAAGTTACAGTACTTGGATCACTAAATAATAGAAGCTCCCCCACAAGCCAACAACCTTCAATGAAGAAAGATGATAACGGCTTTGATGCACCAGGTACACCAGGCCATTCATTTCTTCACTTGTAGATCAAACAAATAGAAGAACCAGGCCAAACTAGGTTTTTCTAAGATTAAAGTCAACAGCTTTCTCGGTATGGGGAAGGAAAGTGAACAACATACAGGTGAGAGGAGTCACCATTTAAAATGTGTGGGAAACACCTAAACCTGTTAAAGCGCCATTGTCACCCACTGGTGTGTCTTTTCTACGATCACTTTGTAAATAACAGACTCTAAGCTTGGATGCCTACCTGGTGCATCCTGATTTCCTCCCATAAGCATGGCTAGCCAGGCCACCCTCCCAGTTCCCTTCCAGAAGAACCCAGCTGTACTGGCTCTCACTCCTTTGAGGTCCTGCTAGCTCGATGATCTGTCACACCAATTATGGGTTTGGTTGAAGTTTCAGGAAATGAAAATCTGATCCGCTGGCAGCTTTCCCAGCTTGGGAGCCCTCTGAAAGGAGCAATGACTTGGTGCTTGAAATTCATTCAAGGAGGAAGCCAGGAGCCCAGCAGGTGAATTGTCAAGGGAAAGCCATCAGAGGCAGAAGCCGGCAGAGACTCCTAATGTGTCCAGAGATCCCCTGACCCACACACGGAAGCCAGAAATATGAAGAAGGCCCAGCTCAGCTACCATGGACTTTGGAAGAGGAGAGGGTAGCCTGAACTTCACAAAAACGATGAAAGGAGTGATGCCCACACTAAGTGGGATCCACAAAGGTGTGTCAAAAAAAGCCAGGGAATCACGTTCAGTCCTGGCCATCTTCTAAACAGGGATTTCTACAGACCCATGTGACTGTGACACCTAGGCACTGACTTCTGAAAGGAGCAAGACATAACCAAACAAGGGATCGACCCTGTCATTTAAAGAACCCTAATGCTTGCCTTTGACCCTGGAGAGCCAGCCGTAAGGAAACCTTTTGGGGAACTGTCCTTTAAGGGGCAGGAAAACAAATGAGGACAAGGTTTCTAAGGGTCCCTGGATGGCAGCCTTGTCCACTCCATCTCATTGGAACACAGTGCCCTGGTGCTGTCTAGTGTGAGCCCATAAATCACCTGTTCAGCTGTCACACAATGAGACAATGCTGTCAAGTCCAGTCTCAGTCCATAAAATTAAAAAAAAAAAACCCACTTTCTCCAATAAGAACTGCCTTGTAGTCCTTTCCTCTCTGCAAATGAGGACAGACTCATTGATACTAACTTACATTCAAGAATGTGGGATGTCCCAAATAACTGAAGTCCACTGATGTCATCACACACCACTTCACACTGGTTCCTTCGTGAATCACCCGGAGAGCCAGGTACTGTTCAAGCTGCCAGAGGTGGGAGGGGATCCCCAGAATCTGTGCCTTTTTTCCACATCTGTCAGCACACTGCCACCATCATCAGATACTGTGCAGCCAATAAACACACTGAAGAAAACCATGGCTCAAATCATATCATAAGATACTCTCTCCTTAGGGACACAGTGCACTGTTAGGAGGAGGCTAGTCAATAGTATAGGGAAAAGGTTTGAGACAGCATAAACAAGTACCTGACATAGGGATCCTGCCCTAGTGGGGGAGAGGTATTTAAAGAGAGACACTTGTGCCATCAGACTACCAAAACAGTGGACCTGGAAGAATTAAGACTTCCTCAGAAACCCCAAAGAAGGAAAAGGCTAAAGCTGGTGCCAACCAGAGGAACTTACTTCCCGGAAAGAGATTTCACACAGTTCTGACAGCTTATACAGCCACCTTGTAGGAGAGACTGAGGCTGATCCAGTGATGGATCAGATAACGTGGAACCATACCTTGAGCAGGGCTGCTTAGCTATGCTCACTTCCTGTCCACTATTTAAACATAGATCTCATGTAAGGACCTCCAAAATGGACTTAGGGTCACTAGACCCCTTTATTTGTTCCTTTTCCCAATGTGGCCAAATAATAAATCTCCTTTCTCTGTTCTTCACTATGGCTTGTCTCTTTAACTGGTGTATTGGAGATGGGTGGCTGGGCCA